GTCTTCCTTCAAACAATTTTACCCTTGTATGAATCCTAGCTTCTCCCAAAGTTCTGTCTGTGGGATATAATTTTATACATGAAGACAAAAGGGCTAGAAACAATACTGTTAGGACCTTCCCGCTGGAGATCCTGCAATCTACAAGACGTTCCTGAGAAATGCTGTTCCTTTGTCATTCTAATGGAATGGACCATTTGGTTCACACCTGTATAGACACAGTTACATTATTTATTTCCCAGAATGACCAACTGAACTTAAACCAATCAGGTTTCAGCAGCAGCCATTCAAATGAGACTGTTTTACTATCAGTCAGTATAGTCCTGCAGATTGTGAAAGCTGATTACAAATCATCAGTTCTTATTCTGCTGGATCTATCTGCCACTTTTGACACTGTCAATCATCAGATCCTCCTAGGGGTTTCCTCGGGGATCAGTTCTTGGACCCCTCCTCTTCACCATATACACTACATCACTGGGACCCATTATACAAGCACATGGTTTCTCCTAACATTGTTATGCTGATGACACACAGCTCTATCATTCATTTCAACCAGACAATCCAATAGTAGCTGCATGGATCTCAGGCTGCCTGGCAAACATCTCGGCATGGATGAAGGAACATCACCTGCAGCTCAACCTGGCAAAGACTGCGCTTCTTGTTTTCCCTGCCCCTTCGATTCTACAGCATGATTTCATCATCCTGCTAGGTTCATCAAAAATGATTCTTTGGTGACCAGCTGACTTTCAAGGACCATATTGTAAAGACAGCTCGATCATGCAAGTTTGCATTGCAGAACACCAGGAGGATCAGGCCCTTTCTAACGGAGCATGCTGCACAACTTCTTGCCCAGGCCCTTGTCATTTCTAGGCTGGACTATTGCAATGCTTTTCTAGCTGGACTTCCAACATGTGCAATCAAACCTCGACAAATGTTTCAGAATGCAGCGGCACGACTACTCTTCCATGAGCCCAAAAGGGCCCACTTCACTCCTCTCTTTATCTCCCTGCACTGGCTACCTGTTGTGGCTTGCATCAAGTTCAAGACATTGATGTTTGCGTACAGAACAGCCACAGGCTCAGCACCCGCCTACTTCCTCCTCACTCTTATGAATCTACATCCCCTCCAGAAGCCTGAGATCTGCAAGTAAGCGATGCCTTGTGGTAACATCACAGAGAGGCATTTTCGTTCACCTTTCCTGGCTGTTGAAATTATCTTCGTTGGCTCAACTTAAATAAAAGAGTTGTTTGAAATACGCACATAGTATATTGTACTTATTATATTTAGTTGTTGAAAATAGTGATTCTGAGTTACCAGAACTTGCGTGTAAGTTTACAACACTAAATAAACCTTTGTTATTACAAATTATTATTCTTATTTCACTTTACTTGGTTTTTTCAAGGCAATCGGTTTGCATGCTTTTTTTAAGTAAGGTTTACTAATTGGAATTTACAGTGTACATGAGGTAGACAAAACTCGTTTATTAAAACTTTTATTCAAATTGTGAATAGATTAAATACAGAAAGCAAGCAAAGAGCGCTCCCTTTAACATAATCACTACAGCTGTCAATCAGTGGGAGCGCGATAGGCTACATTGCTCAGCGTGTACTGGACCGAGTCGAAATAGTCTTGGTTATTGGACCCGCAACCCGCCCGTGCTTGTCACACCCGCCTGCATGCAGGACTCTGGCTTCCCCCTTGTGGACAACATAATAGACAACTCTGACCCCAGAGAGTGAATGTAAATTAAGTTTACATGAAATATATTTGAAATTTCATTCTGCATCTTCTGAGATTTCATTGTAATCCTTCTCATAAAGTCACTGAATTAACCATTAACTGTTCACCTGATTGCGTTGCCATCTGCATGTGATGCTAGTGCGTTGTTGAGAGAGAACAAGAATGTATTGGAAACTCACTGCCCCCTACCTGACTCTGCCTGAGAGGTAAGGAAAAATACACTTACCTCTGAAATCTCTGAAATATATGATAGTGTTCTTGAAAACAATCTTTTAATGTATTATTGAATAAAATATTAGTTAATTATCAAAGAGAGAAAAAAAATAATAGCCATAATATGGACTTTTGTAAATGTTGTGATACTGTGATGCTCAGATACTGTGATTTCCTTCTCACATTGCTGATTTAACCATTAACTCTTCACCTGAACAGTTTATGTTCCTGTATGTGGTATCGTTGTAATCCTTGACCATCAAAACATAGGGGTAGACATCCCTTTTCTGTGTTATCATGTTTGGTTCTGGAGCTATGACACAAAATACAAAATTTGGTTATGGCAGAAAGTAAAATGGTCGCCATGGTAACCACAAGGTGTTTTTGCGATGGCTCCATTTCTGAAAATGTTTAGGGCCGCAAACTATACAAGTGTGCCAAGTTTCATGCTTTTATGAAAAAGTGAACATTATTTTCACATATCACCTGGACTATAAACAAAATCAATCAATACAGATTTTATTTTTATATTTCCACATGAAATATTTTGATAAATATTTATTTTGATCCATACTACATTGACAGTCTTTTAACAGGGTATTTCATTTTTGCTGATCAGCCTGCTCCAAATGAAGTGAATATGATAACCAGTTCTGAATCCCCCTGATTGAACATTCTTGTTTCATATTTTATCAAATAGTCCCCATTAACCCTGTGTTTACAGATCCACCACATCAGTATTCGAGTAAAACGAGGCAAGGAACATATGGAAGGATGAACAGACTTGCAAGAAATAAATAAATAAAGGGGAGTTTTAAACACCCAAATTGATTCCTTATAAATTATGGAAAACTACTTTCTCACTACAAGTATTTTGCAACTTTGACCTCAGTCTTAGGCCCCTAATACTCAGAAAAACCTTTTACCTCAAGGGACGTAGCCACGTTGTACACTATGTTGACCTTTGATCTTCTACAAGACTGTTCTGTTAATGATTTCCCCCCTATTTCTATTGTTTATTTACTATTCACATAATCTAATCTTGTATTCTATTACAGTTCAAAGCTTTAGTAGACCTTGTCTTGTTGAAACATGCTGTAACTGGAGATCTGTGAAACCCTCCTTTCTAAGTATAATTTTGTCCGAAAATAGCAGCCAATCATGCTGCTGTAATCATCTAATCAATATAGGTTAATGGGTAAAACCACTATTTACACATAAGTGTAGAGCAGTTATTGAGCCTGTGATCACTCATGTGATCAGTAAAGGTTATGTAATGATACTATGCTTATGCTTGTTATTTGTATCATACAGCAATCTGTCCCTCATATATCCCACTGCAATATCAATACATGTACAGCACACACACTTTTTTTTACAGCACACACACGCCTTTCTTTAAGCTGTAATTCTGCCTGTTCAGTCATTGATGTCTCTAATGGGCTACGAGTATTTCTTATACCAGGAGTATTACTAGAAAACCATGTCACCAAATATGGAATATGCGGTTGAGCTCGGAAAACCTTACAATGTAGGTCAATGAAGACGAACTATTCTAATTTCCATACGTTCGACTCTACTTGACTCTAATTGGCGGGAGAAGCGCCAAGCCCCTCCCATTGTCCGGATTTTACTTAAAAAAAAAAGCACGGGGTGTCCTTTGACAGTAGGACTAAACCATTCACTGTTTTGTAGGTGAATATCGCGTTAAAACATGTTGCTATTTTGTATTTTTCCATATACATTTTGGATTTGTTTGAAGTGTTGAAATCCCAAATATAGTCGTAATATTTCATATAGAGAATAACTTAATATATTATGTAATTTTATTCGTGCATAAAAACCTAATCTACTGAACTCCCCTATCAAGATATAGTTCACGTTTCACCCTGGGAAATATGATGACACTTATACCGGCTTTTTTTCCATATAGTGAAAAGACAACGAAACATGCCTAAGTAGTGTCCAAAATGGCTCTTACAAGTGTTATATAGGTTTGTAAACTTATTTCTTCCTTAGCCATACATAAAGCCATAGTTTGGGTTATCAGTTTAAACTGCGGTTCGAAGGACTGTCAAGTTCAACCGAAGAAGAACAATGTATCCGGCCCGGCGATGTTCATCGCTGCTTCACCGAGAACTGGCCGCAGTCTGTCTCTCATTACTGGGGACACATCCAAAGAAATCCGGTCCGCTGAAGAAAAGCAGCCTTCCGAGTTCACGACTCTTCCACACCAGCGTAGTTCATCCTCCTCCAACCAGGTCCAACTCATCACCCGCTCTGCTCGGTTCTTTACAAGGTAATTTAAGATTTCCTCACATATTATTTTGCCTTACTAAGATCATGGTTGTGTCTTAAAACCAAGTTGAGCTCTTTACCTAGACAGTAGGTGACTCGGAAGCGCCTCAACGTTTTGAGACAGTCTTCGAGTCAAATTCAGTTTGATTTTGTTTATGATCCTTATTCAGATGCATTTATTCAATTTGTTTTTATTTATTTTTTAATTCTCAAACATATCTGTCACTAAAAAGCAGTAGCCTATTATTTTAGTAATATTTATAGTATTATAGTATTTATTTTGAATTAGCTTTATATTTTTATTTTTCATTTTTATTTTAGTTTACGTTATGTGCATTTGTCATTCTTTAGTTTTTTATTTTTAAACCTTTCTATTCAGCTTTAATTTCTTTTTATTTCAGCTTTAGTAATTTTACTACTTTAACTAAAATGGTAGTCATTTATTTGTCAAGGCATCATTTCTAATTTACGTGTAAGCCTTTCATCTAATATTTATATTTTATTTCAGTTATTACCAAAAATGATCGATAAGTTTTAGTTTTAGTTAGGAACAACCAAACTGCTAGGGTCTTTAGAATTGCATACTGTTTTGTCTTGAGAAAATGTTACAGTTCTGAAGGAAGTGATAATTTGATATATAATTTTGTTACATTATTATATTTTTTCTTAATATTGTTTGCTTGAGTTAGTTTGGTGTTCTCTACTTAGATCTATTCTTGTGTGCCTTCAAGGTAACTTGATAGTCCTGCTAAAGGTCAGTGAACAGTACACCCTTTGAACAGCCCCCTAACGGTTCAGTCCCCACACTGAACCGTTTTTCTATGTTATCTGATTTAGACATGCTCTATCATAGATTTACCAACTCGTCCTCTGCATCATCTCTGCAGTTGCTTTGTAGCACATTCAGAAAGGACAGAATGTAGATGGATGTGCCTGTGATCAGCTAATGAACAGATGGAAAGCGACAAACACACTTTAAACCAAAAAGGTTTTGTTAACCAGCGAACAGATAAAACTCTGTACAGTGGAAGTGATTTCAGCTCTGTGTGAACAAATCCCCCTGTAGGACTGCTCTTGTGTAAGGAATTTGACCTGGAGCAGGACAAGGTCTGGGAACCATCATGTTATCTAAGTTGGACTCAATAAGCAAATAAAAGCAGCTCCAGTAATTGCTGGGGCATTAACAGTGAAGGACTAGTATTTTGCTGATTGTAGATTGTAAAATTTGGATTTATAATATTTCCCCCCCATCCCCAAGACAATGTAAGCACTGAAGTAAATGCCTACAAATATATATCCATAGTAAGGATGTAACCAAGTATTTAATATTGACATGGTCCAAGGGTAGAATTTGTAAAAATATTATACTGAAAAATCCATAATAATTAACTGCTAGATGAATATTGGGGTGTGGATATGTCCCCCTTAATGTGTATGTTGATTACACTCTTAATCCAAGGTGTAGCTTCTCATTAAATGCCATTTAGGCACAGTTTTCAGGTTATAGTTGGTGTGCATCATCTTCACACCTAATGAGGTTGTCAGCATTTCTCTTAATCAGAGAATAGGTTTGTACTATTTGGTCACTAATTCTCACGTGATAGTTTTACCAAGCCTAATGTTACATCTCCAGATTAAAGTATGTATACAAGTCAGAACAGGCAAATATGAAGTTTCGCTTCATAAACTTCTGTGTCAAATGAAATGCTAAATGTCAGAGCTTGGGGAGAGAGTTCAGCGATGTGCATCAGTTGTGTAATAAGGCTTTATAATCTCATGCTCCAAAACTGACTTTTTTTTTTTTTGGGTGATAGGTTGATTTTTTTTTTCAGTAACTAAAGAACATATTACACTATTTTACAATAGTTCTTTAGTTATTAATACATAATTTTTGATAACAATAAACAACATTTCTTACAGCATTTGTTAGTCTAGGTAAATGTTAATTTATAAATATACTGTTCATTGTTACTTTATAATTTTTCATAATGCATAAAATTATGTAATATTTTTAATATTTTATAGTTTAGGGTCTGTAAGAAAGAAGTCTCATGTTCACAAAGGCAGTTAAAATAATTGTTTTCTATTTTAATATATTTAATATATAAATATTATGTAATTTATTCCTGTGATGGCAAAGCTGAATCTTCAGCATCATTACTCCAGTCTTCAGTGTCACATGATCCTTCAGAAATAATTCTGAAGTAATAATATGCTGATTTGGTGCTCAAGAAACATTACTTATAATTATTAATATACAGTTGTGCTGGTTAATAATTTTGTGGTAGCCAAGATCAATTTTGTTCAGGATTCTTTGATGAAAGTTCAAAAGAACAACATTTATTTAAAATAGATCTGATTGTGAAAATCTTTTGATCTTGATTTAAAGCCAGCTTGTTGAATAAAAAAAGAAATTATATAATGAATGAACTAACGTTAACAAAGTTTAAACCTATTGTAAAGAGTTAGTGAAAAATTGTGAGCTTTATTACATTCCAGACTAATAAGCCACACTGTCTTCCTCAAACTATATGTTAAATTAGGGCTGAAGTGTTCTCTTCACTGTGCATAACCGAGTGTGTGCACATGTATGCGCTGGCAGGATTCGAGTCCCTCTCGTGATTTTTCATTGTTCAGAATGAATGGTAGGGGAAGCACAGACACACTGGTTCATTCAGGATCAGGAGCCCCTTTGTGCGGGAACACGTACACAGATACAAACACTATCACATCCGCAGCCCCCAGAATCTTCACATACGAAAGTGTAAGAGCTCAATGGGTGAATGCTAGTGTTCTCTCTGTCTGTCATACACTAACCTACTGACCGGACACTGGATCAGCACTGGATTAGTCGTGCACTCCCTCAAAGTCAAAGAGAAGAGGATTGTGCCTTTAGTTGACCTGCATCGGAGACATTCAATGGAAAAGGATATAATTAGAGGTATTTTTAAAAGAGATATGTGATTATAAGTTTTTTAGATGAGTATAAGACCTAAATGTTTGAGAAAATGACCATACGGGCCATAGACCCTGAATAGTCATTGATTTAGTTGCAGTGGATGTCTAGAGATGGTGAGTTTAAACTTAGACAAGATGACAGATATGATACAAGAGTTGCATGTGACTTATAAAACTGGTTGGTTTAAATTGTATGGGTGCTGTGTGGTTTAAATGATTACTAAGCAATGACCATGAACAGCCCTGAGTATTCAGCACTTGACCTTTAATAAATAGAAAATCTTTACTTGTCAGTCATTAGATTCTGCTTTTTCAATTTAACGAAGACATAACCAAACACAAATATAAAGAGAGAGAGGCTGGATGCAGAGTTCTTGAGGAGGTATAGGAGACGACGGAAGTGGAACAAGATGAAATCTGATGATATGCGTAAGACTAATAAATCAAAGCTGTGTGTCTGGCATAAACATTTAAGTCAAAATTGATTTAATTTAAATGATCAGAATTACTCCTACAATATATGAATGTGTGTTTGTTTAAATGTTAATTTTATTTACACTCACATTCAAATGTTTGGGGTCAATAACGTTTTTTAATGTTTATGAAAGACATCTCATGCTCACCAAGGCTGCATTTATTTGATCAAAATACAGTAAAAACAGTAATATTGTGAAATAATATTACAATTTAAAATAACTGTTTTCTATTTTAATATATTTTAAAATATATATTTATTTCTGTGATAGCAACGCTGAATTTTCAGCAGACATTACTCATATATTAATATATCATATCATTACTAATATGCTGATTTGCTTTTATTCTTCTTTTTTTTTTTTTTTTTTTCTTTTCAAGCACACATGTTGAAACAAGCCAGAATAACTAAAATGAATTCACATGGTTTAAAATAAAATTGCAATCTTTGTTAAAAGCAAACAATTAAAACCATTGTGTTTTGCTTGTTTTTGAAAGTCCATGTCTGTGGTGTGTTTTAAAAGGTGTGAATGTTTCAAAAGTAAAAAAGTTTAAAATAGCATACAAGCATCGAGAGGGAAAATACAAACAGAGACTCGGACAAACATACTTTCTCAGAAAGAAAGAGAAAAAAAATTCATACATATTAATGTTACAATTCTGAAACGGTGTCATTACAGAGTATGTATGTCCCCAATCTTGAAAACCAATTTCTGAAATGTTACATGTGAATTATATTTTCCTCCTCTTAACAGCAACTATATACAATAGAACACGGGGAGCTATTCCTTACAACTCATACAAAAGATTGCCTTAAAAAACGGTTGAAATTCAAGAAAAATCTGGGCGTACTGGTTTAATATATTCCATCCATTTATTCCAAATTAGAAAAAAATCTTCCATCTGAGTTCTTAATGAAAAAGATATATACATATATATTGTGTATTATATCAGTCCATTCTTCAATTGTGGGTGACTCTGGTTTTAACCATTCTTTAGTAATTACTTTTTTACTAGCTGCCAGAAGGATTAACAACAGTTTCTTATCCTTATTGTTCCACCCATCTAGGGCAAAATTACCCAAGTATAGAGATTCACAAGTAAAAGCAATCTCTTTCTCAAAAACAGCTTCCAAGTTCCTTTTAATCTCTTGCCAATACGGGGTTAGTTTCTGACATCCCCAAAAAATATGATAATAGTTAGCTTCCTTTTCCCCACATAATCTCCAGCAGCTAGTACCCTTCCCTTGGTGTTTTTTCTGTGATGGTGTAATAAAGAACCTAATAACATTCTTCCAACAAAATTCTCTCCACATGGCAGAGCTTGTAGCTTTCCATTGTGTTTTACAAATTTTCCCCCAATCCTCATTCGAAATATTCAAATTTCCTTTCATTTTCCATTTGTCTCTAACATATAAAGTGTCTTCGGGTACAGTTTGAAGAAATCCATTATATAATTTTGAAATAATTTTATTACATGGTTGAACCTTGCATACTAATAAGAACACCTTTATTATTCCTGTCTCAGCAATTGTCAATATTTCTGGTTTAATATTACAATCAATATGCCTTACTTGAAGATATCTATTGAAGTCACTTTGATTAAGCCCATATTTTCCTTTCAGCGATTCAAAGCTTTGGATTTTGCCCTTGTTAAAAAATGTGTAATAATTTGAAATTCCTAGCTTAGCCCAGATTCGGAATTGGTCATCTATTCTGTTTGGGACAAAATAAAGGCGCACCGTCTTAATATTCTTGATTCATCTTCCAAACCACCCATTTTCTTTGTTTGATGCCAAATTTTAAATAATAAATTGATCCATGGGTTTGTTTCCTTAATCATTCTCATTCTTAGTTTGATATCGGCAATAAGGGCTGCTAACGTGGACTCTTCCATCATTCCAAATCACTTTTATTTTCATTTTCAATGTTGTAAACAGTTGTGCTGCTTAATATTTTTGTTGAAACCATTTTTTTGCAACATATCTTTATTTATGATAAATGTATTGCCTCCTTATATTTCTTTAAAAAAAAAAGTTTGAACATTAATGTAAATGTAAGATTAAGATGACAGGAATGCAAAATTTGCTGCCATGGTGCTACTGGTTTTGGTTGTTGCTAATGTGTTCTGAGGTGTTTTAGTATATGGTTGTGCAGTTGCTAGAATATGAGTTATCTATTACTATTATGAGTAATATGAGTTACAATGTCATTCATGTCTAGGGCAAGTTAGTATAAGGTTTACATACACCAAGTATAAGCAATAGTAATGGTGATTCTAGTGCAAACAGCACTAATAAAGGTTCCTGTTTCCCTGTCCACAAGGAGATTAGTGTTTCCTGCAGAACAGTTTGTTCTTGTTGTGTCTGTGAGTGTGGCTGAGTTGTCATGACAGACAATACACAGCAGTTTCCATGGCTGCAGTTAACTCTTTAATTGTCTGTTAACGTGATGAATAATGTACATAGTGGTAAACTAGCATACAAGTCTTTGTACCCATCAAGGTTTGAGAGGCTAGTGAGGTTAATCAAATAGAATGTTAATAGGTGATTCATATCTGGTTAAACCTCTTCTAAAGACTCAAAACAAGCCCAGACAGATGCTGAGGCATAAGAGACATGTCCCTTGTGAACTTATCAGTGCTTTAAAAGGAGTAGTACTTTTCAACATTACACTCACAATACACTGTGAAGCATCAAATAATAACCAAATAATGTTGTTTCTAGTTTTACTTTTTTTAATTCTACTTTTTTTAGTAATACACATTAACAACAACAGACAGTACTTAGACCTAATTCATCTGCACTTTAAATAGCTACCACGTGCTGTCATACTACTGTTTATATTTTCATACACAGTGTGCTGCACCGCTACTATTTATATCTTCATTGGCTGCTGTTTGTTTTGTATAAAGTATGTTGTGTCATCTTTCATACTGTGTACTATATACAAGTGACAGCAGTTTGTAGAATACACAATCATTTTACCTGGTGAACAGCAACAACAGAAATTAAAGTAAGGTGTAATCAGACAATATATACTTAAAAGAGGCATGAAGTAGATAAATATAATGACTTTTTTAAGAAAAAAAACCTGAAGGCATATATGGCTTCAAATCTTGTGTATTTTACACGCAGCTTTTATGTTCTCATTTGATTTTATGTGCAATATTTTTTTAATTAATTTGTGACACTACAGGAATATTAAAGTGAACTGCAAAAAGGGTAAAATGTTTTAAAAACATGGAAAAACCTTTTCTGTTTTGACTTGCCATACACACACACACACACACATACATCCTTTACGTCATACTATACTAAGATTTTATGTTAATAAACATTCATCAATCATTATGAATCTGTAAAGTTTTATAAAAATTTCTACAACTATACCAGAGTGTGTATTCCTGTTTTGTGATATGTGTGTGTGTGTGTGCAGTGTGTCAGATGGGAAGCAGCAGTAGTGGCAGCAGCAGACTCTTCAATACTCTGGCCCAGACTCTGAGCAGTGCTGCGCTGGCAGACTCACATGTGGATTCTGACGACTACGAGTATGAGCAGGCTGACCCGGACGCTCTGTTGCGTGAATGCGAGGAGGTTTTGAAGAACCGGCCTCCTCGAATGCACCGAGACTTTGTTATGACCAGAGCCTGCTCACTGCAGAACACACCCATCCGCATCATGCAGTGGAACATCTTAGCACAAGGTACAGAGTCTGTCTGCTTATGTCATGTATTTGATTCATAGTTGATTCACAGGAGGTAACTGAAATCAGAGGTTTTATGCTTTTTAATGCCACCAGCTTCCTAAAAGGCAGCTATATATTTGCATGTGTAAAGACTCATTTATACTGTGAGAAATATGTGTAAAAAAAAGTAAATAATATACATTTATATTGCCACTGTACTAAAGCCAAAACAAATTATTAAAATATTATCTGAAAATATTGTAAAAAAACAAAAAAACTTTTCTCAAAAAGCATTAAATACATGCTATATATAGCTTTTGAAATTTTGATTTGGGTGACCATACATGCCATTTTTCCCGGACACATCCTGGCCAAGATTTCTATATTGCCTAAAATATCCAGGTTTTGGCTTTGTTTTGCGCTGGACAGACCGATCGGTGTATGACATCAAAGTAATATAGGGAATATAGAAATCCTGGCCAGGATGTGTCCCGGAAAAATAGCACCTATGGTCACCCTAATTTTGATATATTTTAAAATGTAATTTATTCCTGTGATGGCAAAGCTGAATTTTCAACAGCCATTACTCCAGTCTTCAGTGTCACATGATCCTTCAGAAATAATTCTAATATGCTGATTTGCTGCTCAACAAACAATTTCTATTATTGTCAGTGTTGAAAACAGTTGTGCTGCTTAATATTTTTGTGATACATTTCAGAAGAGGCCAGTGTTAAGAATGTCAATGTGTCACCATAATGGACTTTTTGTTGAGTTTCTCTGTTTCTGTTCTCCTGCCCTGTTTAGTTCCTGTCTCCATAGTTTCTGTTCTTGTCATTAGTTGCCTTGGTTACCTAGTAGTTTCAGGTGTGTCTTGTTAATTTAACCATTATATATACTCCCTGTGTTGTTCAGTTTTCTGCCAGCTATTTGGTGTTCTATTGTTGTGCTACCTTGCGCTAGTGCTATTTCTGTTGCTTCCTCGTGAATTTATATTAAATGACTTATTTTGGATCTCCCTTCTTTGTCATGCACTTTATAATCAGCACACACGTGACACAAGTCTGTTTAGAATGAAAGTCAAATTCTGTAATTATTTTTAAAATTATTGTTTTAAACATATCTCATTCATATTTGAAGCTAATCAATTGTGTTAGGCTCTACATTTGTATTTTTTCAAAATGTATCTTTATATCAAACTAGGACTGAAGACACCATAATGCTACCATATTGTGCTCAATACGTGATGTAAACATTCTTAATTTTTCTTGTGTATCTGCAGCTCTGGGCGAAGGCAAGGATGGTTTTGTGCGCTGCCCGATTGAGGCGTTGAACTGGTCAGAGAGGAAGTATCTTATACTGGAAGAGATCCTTACCTACAGGCCAGATGTGCTGTGTCTACAGGAGGTGGACCACTACTTTGACACCTTCCAGCCTGTGCTCGCCAGCTTAGGCTACCAGAGCAGCTTCTGCCCCAAGCCATGCTCCCCCTGCCTGGATGTTCACAATAACAATGGCCCCGATGGCTGCGCTCTGTTTTTCAACCGACGTCGCTTCCAGCTGCTCCACACCGCTCACCTCAGACTCTCTGTCATGATGCTCAAAACCAACCAGGTGGCCGTCGTGGCTACGCTTCGCTGCAGGCTCACAGGTCAAGTCTTCTGCGTGGCAGTAACACACCTGAAAGCACGGAGCGGCTGGGAGGCGTTTCGTAGTGCACAGGGGGCTCATCTCCTCCAGCAGCTCTGTGACCTAACCACACAGTCGCACCCGGAGATGGATGATGAAAACAGGACTAGGGTTGGGGAAAGCGAAGAGGGTATTCCGTTGGTGGTATGTGGGGATTTTAATGCAGAACCAAGTGAGGAAGTGTACAGGTGCTTTATGACTTCTCCACTGGGGCTAGACAGCGCTTATAAGTGTCTGAGTGAGAACAGGAACACAGAGCCGCCCTACACCAGCTGGAAGATCCGGCCAAGCGGAGAGAGCCGCTCCACATTGGACTACATTTGGTACTCGGAAAGAGCGTTCCAGGTGGACACTGTGCTGAGGATACCGAATGAAGAGCAGATCGGGCCAGACCGGCTTCCGTCATATCATTATCCCTCTGATCATTTGTCACTGGTGTGTGATTTAAGCTTTAGTCAGCAGCCTCATAGGCTCATGTAGCTGTCAATCATTAGTGCTCACGGCCTTCATCTCCAATAGGGATCCAGAATAGCTTAGGAAATTCCTAGTGCGTGTGTGTGTATGTCTGAATGTGAGAATGCATTATTGCAAAGAATGTAACTTATCTTATTCACACAAACCTTATTTTTACTTGCTGATGTAGGTCTTAATGCACCTCTGTGCTTACTATCCTTGAAGGAGATTAACTATTATTATACTCTTATTGTTTAAGCAGAGGTTGTGCAATATATTGTAATTTATTAAGTGCTAAAGGATGATCTCAGGAAGATGCACATTATGGATTAAAAGGTTCCACTAGTGGAAAGATGTTTATATTTATAGTGACTGTACTTTTTTCTTTTAGTAACACTATGTTTTCCACTGACCAGTAATCCAAATACATCACAGTGTATTTAAATTGTGTGATCGCTTTCTTTAATGACAAGCAAAACTGGACTGGTTTGAAAAAAAAAATCTGCTTTTGATTTCAACTACAAGAATGTATTGGGCTCGTTTCATATTTGCTTACAGGGTAAAGGGTAGAAAAACATGAATATATTTAGAAAAAAAAAATGTTTTCGCAAGTCTAAACAGAGGCTCATAAGCTACTTACTTGCTCATAAGACATATTTTTCTGATATCCATCTTTCTTTCATTGGGAGTTTTGATGTTAGTGACATTCGCACAATCATCTGTAACCATGGTGCGCCTCAAGCCACGAGATTCATCCGCACAGGCTAGCCGAGTCGAAGCACAACTCACCTAATTACCAGAATATTGTTCCTCGGCACGTAACCTGTAGTTTTATGCTTAAACCGCTGGAGTGCCAAAAGTAACATTGTAATTTTTTTCTACATCACCTTGATCATTTATTTTGTTAAATTCTTCTTGCAGCCTTCTAAATCCATCCTTTAATGGTGAAATATTTTATGATCTGGATGCAAAGACTGTCATCCTTCAAAGCCAATCTATTCTGGTCCGGATCTCTCTGAGCCAATTAGCAGAAATACAGATTTTTAAGGCTTTGCTTAAAGTTACCAACATAGTAAAGAGCTCTGCAGTAATCCTAGTACATTCCACAGAGACTAATAAAGTATCTACAGTAGAACATATATCAAACTGTATGTGTAGGGAAAGTTTGTGTGCAGGAATGTAGTGGTCCGGATCTCTCTGAGCCAATTAGCAGAAATACAGATTTTTAAGGCTTTGTTTAAAGTTACCAACATAGTAAAGAGCTCTGCAGTAATCCTAGTACATTCCACAGAGACTAATAAAGTATCTACAGTAGAACATCTAATATCAAACTGTATGTGTAGGGAAAGTTTGTGTGCAGGAATGTAGATTCTTTGGGTTGTGAAATAAGGTTTCTGGACAGAAATTGAACTGAAATTACTAAGATCAAACTTCATACCATGAAGACAGGTTTCCCACACTTAGACCAATGAACCTCCATGATTTTTCCATGTGTCATTGTAATGACTGGATAAAGGTTTTTAAAATCTTTCGATCAAGATCACATTTACATGATTTAATTTCTAGTAAAAAAAACTTAGAACCAGTTGTTTGCATATTTCTCTATATTTAAATCTACTTGGATACATTTTAAGGGTAAGAATACAACAAAATATATGCTTCATATATTGAATATTCAATATACTGTATAAGACATTCTTTCCCTTTTTTGTACATGTGAAAAAAATTATCTGCAAAATACAAAGCAGTGAATGCATGATACAGAAAACATACAGTGATAAATGCACAGAAAGAAAATTACTTAAAAAGTCTGAAATGACAGGAAAAAACATTTGAATGTCCTTCAGAAAACAGTTTCCTTTAAACTGTAAAAAAAAAATAAAAAATATTTACACAATAAACGTAATCAATTACTTTAAGTAATGATTCAGGAGAAAAAAAGCTGACCTAAGGCTGCTTGTTTTATTATCAATAACTACCACAATGGTATGTCTATGCACAGATTCTTTTGTATGTCCATGCACAGATACTCCAAATTACCAGGTGATCAAAATCTTGGCTGTTTCTCTTCACACATATGACTTCGTCTCGGTCCTTAGCACCAAGTGAGGTTCATTCCTACAGCATCACAGCACAGATGGTATACTATAACAAAGCGTGATTTGAATAGATAAATTTAAGAAATAAAAGGAGGAAAAAAGGCCATCTGACGTCTAATCCAGACTCAGGCTAGACACAGTGGTTCTAGTGTTGGATGTCAACATGCACCTGAGCTGTAGTGCTGGTTTCATCCGTTTCACATAAGAGACAGCCACTCTTCACATCACTTGTTTTATGTGTATCTGTGTCACAAGCATTGATGTTGGTTCCTGTGAGTGAATGCAGTGACGTTTGATGTTTGCTCAGCTCTGTGTGGTCGTGGGGTTTGTGTGTGTGTTCTCTGCAGCCCTGTTAACTGTCTGATCTACAGACACCTCAGGAGATTCAACCTTAATAATAGTCACATCCTGTAAAGACATCGCTGGCTGTACGTTCGGCACCACTGTCACTCCCGGCTGCGAGGTCACCACAGTTACAGGAGCTGTGGAGGCAGTGGTGGTGATGTTGGAGGTGACGGCGAGCTTCAGGACTTGGGCGTTGCTGGTAGACACGGTGACAGGGGAGAGTGTACTCAGAGTGATGGGAGTGCCGGGTCTGCCAGGCATGGTGGGAATGGTGATGAGCTGCAAGGTGATTCTCTCACCGCTTTGGCCCCGAGCAGGCACTAGCGTTGGCACGGCCTGGAGAACCACTTTGCCTGCGCTGTTACCCCCAGTGACTGAGTTGGGCACAGGGAAGATGGGCGAGCGGATGGTGGGAGAATTGACAGTTACTGTGGAGATTTTCTGACCCTGTGTTGTCATGAGTACAGGAACCTGCATGGCAAGCCTCACTGTCCTGGAAACAACCAAAAAGCACTGTGATACATGCAACTGTTAGCGGTAAACTTTTAAACACTATAGGGCCATATGAAATAAGCAATTAACGATTAACAAAAAGACATTTTGATATAATACCCAGGGGCTGTTGCCATGTTGTCTGGCGACTGTTGCACGGCCATAAAGGCATCTTGTCCTGAGGTTAGATTGATGATTTTAGGTACAGCAGAAGAGGGAGAGACCAGCATCCCTTTGCCTTTTGGATTGCTGCGACTGGATGCAGCTGGGCATTCTCTCTTTCCTTCATCAATGCTGTCGTCCATATTGTCATCATCTATGAAAACAATGTCTTTGGGCATCTCCTTAAACTGATACACAAGCCTTTGGCCTTCCACTTTTGATAAAATGCCCCTTTGATAGTAATACCTACAATAAATAAATATAAAAAATAAAGAAGAAAAAAAAAAAAGATCAATCAAGACTGCTAGCACATTTTATAGTTTCCAAAAAATTAATTTTTTTTTTTTTTTAAACATCAGACATTACCTGAGTGCCCTCCCCATTGTCTCATAGTTCATGTCAGGTTTATTCTTATGTCTGCCCCATAATTTAGACACCGCTTTGGGATCCACAAGCTTGAATATGCCCTTCTCTTTCTGAGTCCACTTAATGTACTTTGGACAGGTTTCCTTGTCCTGCAGAAGGTCCAATAGGAACTCCCACAGGTAAGTAGTTGAGCCTGTAAGAGACAGACTTAACATTTGTGGCACCAGAAAATAGAATTCTCTTTCACAAAAAAACAGAAACACTCACCCTTGCTGTCTTTTGATTTCCTCTTATAGACCATATCCAGAGAACCATCACAGAAACTCCGTGGAGTTCTGGGTTTTCGTCCTGCTGGGGAAGATCACAGCAAACAAATGAATCTCTTCTAGAAAATTACAGTTTTTGAACTATGCCATGTTGACTTTTCCACTTAGGTAATATAATTAAGAAATTGAGCTGAAAGCAAACTTTAAGCAAATGCAATGTATTATAATATGAAGCAATAATCATGCATTCATTTCCAAACATATCTGTAGTTCATGGTCTTGGGTAATAGGAAGTGTGGTTCACCTCGCTTTTTTTTCTTCAGTAAATCGGTCTCCTGCAGGACAACAATATCCTTGGCGACGGGTCCCATATCCTCGGTTCTCACTTCCACCTCCACCTCAGATAAAAGCTCCTCTGCAGAGATTGAGATCTACTGTTCATTTTACTCTTCATACATATTTGATATACAGAGCAAGTAGTAGTAATGTAAGTTAGGACAGTGCAAACGGCCTGTATTACAGCATTCAGTACATGTGTAGATGTAAATCACACCTGTGCTGCGATCCCCCTGCAAGCTGGCTGGTGAATCCATGTGCAGCAGAGCTTCAGCTGCTTCAATAGTTTTATCATGCACAGAGACCTCCACTAAGAAAGAGAAAAAATAGAATTTTCTTGCACAATAAAAAAAAAAAGGAACAAATACAATAATTTAAATACACTGTTCTAAAGCAAGAAATCCTTTTGCTTTGTTTAAGGCTAATGTGAAAACAGATGTTACAGGACCAAAAACTGATATAGAAGATTTAAAATTGAGCTTGCTTTTGATTAAAAGAGCATTCTGCGTTCACAAACATTTTCCTGTACATAAACTAATAAATTGGCGGTAAAGAAAAATATATTTCTATTTCGATGTGTTTATTGGCTACACTGCAGCTTACGAAACAATACTAAGCGCTCATTGGCCAGGAGTCCTGTCACTCAACGCATATTAGTACACTTCCGCCCTAAACTTCGAAAACGAAAAGCGTATTTTTAATCATATATTTGATATATTGCTCCAAGCGAAAGTGCTTGAATAGTCAAAGAAAACATATCGAAACGTTATTTGTTTATAAAACCACATGTTCCCTACGTTTTCAGCAACAATCTCGAGTAAGTCTCATAAAACCAAAAGCGGTCAATTCAAATTTCTTGCACGACGCTTTTAATGTAAAAAAGCAATCCCGCACCCGTTATCCTTCAAAATATACCGCAACAAATTAGTCATTCATTATCGTCTTCGTTAATCTAGAAAATACATCAATAAAGAGCAGAACCGTTAGCTGATTTAAACAAACAATCAAAGCCAACAAAAATTACACGGCTGCTACAAAACATTTAAAGCTTCAGGCTCTACCACGAAACCCTGTTAAACAGTAAACCCCGTTATAAACACTATAACACATAGCGTGGCTAAGACGCAAAAAGAAAACAAACACACTTCCTGGTTCCGACAGTAAGCATCAATCCGCTAAGAATTAATCATAACCGACTGTAAACGAACTATTTTAAATACACACAACACCAATTGCAAATATTACTCTACAAACACAGAATAAAAGTCTCGCTAAAACAAAATAGCAAGAAATGCCTTAGTATTACTTAAAGTTGGCGCACGGGTTAAAACGATAGCTCTTCTTCACTTCCTGGTTGTCAAGCGCTTTTGCATCCTTCACTTCAGCGGGAGCCCAGCGCTCATTACCTCAAATCACGTGACACGCTTCTGTGATGAGTGAGTTTTTTTTTTTATTTATTGTTTACTAGCTTTGCTGAGTAAATCGAACTGGTGTTGAGATACATTTAAACTGGGTAGTCATCCCAGCTGCTTGCGGTTTATAAACGATCAATAATCTCCTCGCCAATATTATACCAATAATTACCAATATTTCTCTGCCTTTAATTACAATGAAGACAATGCAACTATACATAAGCCTTTTTTCTGCGTTTTAAAAAGGTACATACAATTCTGAGCAGTCAATGTTGTATTTTGCATCTCTGAGCACAGAGAACAAACAAAAGTATTACAAAACCATTGGTTTCATCCAGATTAAAGTTTGTATAACTTATTTACCCTTTTTCCAAGTGTTTCAAGTGTACTAATCCTACAAATTATAAACTTTGTTTTTGTTTTTCTAATTTGTATCTTTTATTACTTCCACAAAAACGCCACAAGATGTCCCTCTTTAGCTGTTCCTGCTGTTAAAGGGGTCCTATTATGCTTTTTCACATTTTCAACTTTAGTTAGTCTGTAATGTTGCTGTTTGAGCATAAAAAAAGATCTGCAAAGTTACAAAGCTCAAAGTCCACTTCAAAAGGAGATATTTGATTTAACAGAAATCACTTTTCAAAAACTACAACGAACGACTCGTTTGGACTACAACGCATATTTTCTGGGATTTGTGATATCACAAATATCGACGAATGGGACGAGACCTGGTTGAGCTGCACTAACAAAATCAAGACTTTGTAAAAGAGCATAATAGGACCTCTTTAAAAGAAAAAAAAAAAAAATAGGGCATATTTGGAAATCATGTTTGGTGGTAAACATGTCAAAGTCAATGCAATCAAGCTTTTCAAAATTACTGTGATACGTGCAACTGTTAGCCACAAGTTGACCTCACTGATTGCACTTTCAAGCAAATGCATAATACAAAATTTTCCTTGCATGGAAATACAGCCCCCTGACAATTGCGAGAATTATTGCTTACCTGCTTCCATCTCCTGCAACTCAGTCTCCACAACTTGTTCCTCAGCCACATCCTGCACCAGGTAGGTATTCTGATCATCATAGACTAACACCTGAGCAGCATAACACTGCTCCACATCAGCGCTATTCACCTGCTCCACTATCACTGCAGGGCAGTCCTTCTCTCCATCGGCCTCCTCCCCATCAGGACAAAACTCCTGGCAACACAAACAAACAAACATTTTGATTTTCCTTAAAATGTAGATTTGAGTTCAGTTGCAATTCTAATATGAGTGTGTACATTTTGTACAAGTGCAGACTTCACCTGCTGAGCTTCCTCGTCTCCAGCGACATACTCCAATATATTCCCTCCACCATCTACAATCACCACAGAGGTCATAACTCATTCCTCTGTGTCAGACCTGCACTTATCCACTTCGCCCCTGCTGATGACCTTGAGTGATGTCACAGCCTGAGAAATGAAAAAAAAAAGCCATTGGTAAATGCAGTGTGGAACACATTGTGCTTATCTTTGAAAATATTCATAACTTAAAACCATACCTCTCAACACACTGTTCAGATAAACCATTGTAAGTTAATTATAATATTTTAGAATTACAATAAACAAATCTCCCAAAGCCATGTGAATTAAATCATGTGACTAATTAGGCCAAGTGGGTACTGATATCATCTGATGCCTTTTCAGTTGGCATGGAAATAATCGAATATTCTTACAAAGATCACAAGCAGTCCTTCAGGCAAAAACAAATGCTTACACACACGCAGAAACAAAACAAGAAAACGGAAGAGGCCTGTATCCTGTTGGCAAATGTGATCTCAGCCCAATCATATTCAATGTTTTAGTTTTTTCTCAATAGAAAACCCCCTAAGGGTTGTGCCCATTTCATGCCCCATCTTTGCATATATTTTTCTCTACTATGTTGCCCTTTATCACAGTTTTCCATCAAGTATAACAAAATGTAAACACTGACACTAGACTGATAGACTAGGAGTCTGTTATTATTGGACATTCAAATAGCGCCACCATTCTCCTGCAATAACATTGAATCAACTTATTTTTTTAACAAGGAGTGAACAGATTTTTAGCAACAACCATGCAAAGAAAGCAAATCACAAACAAATTAACTTTTACAAAAATTGTATCGGGACACAAATGATTAGATCGATAAACAAACGCCTGCTGTATAAACAGCTGCGCTAAAACAAACCACATACCTTCTAATTATATCTAAATGAATTAACTTTAACCTCTAATGTACGTATACATGGAAAAATAGGATATTTCTCACCGTTTGTGGCGATTTCTTGTCGTTTGGTGCACCTCAAGACAGTCTAGTCCACTCTGTCATAAGGTTAGCATGCTAACCATGCTAATGACAGATTGACTGGTTGACGATAAAGCTGGTCAACTTGCGTAAACTGCTCGCTGACAAAAAGCACGCATGCAGGCGATACACAGATGCCTATTTGGTCAATGTAAAATATAAAAAGAAATGCGTTTTGGCAGGCTGCGTTGGTGTAGTAGGTAATGTTTTGCGTAGCTGGTTTCGGGCCTCCCGTTGCAGGATCCGACCAACGAACTGCGCAGCGACCGGAAGTGACGGCACACACACCCTTGTCAGGTGCGCGCGTGCTAAAATTTCAGCAAGCTCAATTTAAAAACACAAACAAAAATAATAGGATAGTGATCATGACAAACTATTTATAATACTATCACAATAAATAATATCATAATAATATGTTTAAATTAGCAAATGTTTCTGAGGGAGGTAGCAGGCAGATATAATATAGACAATGAAGTACAGACATGTTATGCCTGGCTATATTTCAAATATACAGTAATATAATTGAAATGGCAATCTGTACAGTCGTAACCTCAAATTTAAAATCTTTATTACTATGCTGAAGAATTTACCAAAATAGGACCATTTCCAAATCCAATCTTGCAACTTATTAACAGAGAAATCTGCACCTAATAATCACATAGAAACACTCTTCAACTTAGTCAAACACAACCACACACAGGGGCGGACTTATGGCGCTTTTCCACTGCATGGTACGGCTCGGTACGGTTCACTTTGGAATGAAAAAGTTTTTTAGGAGTCGCGGCAGTAGAGGCGGCGCAACTATAATGACCTGTGAATAATCCCGCCCACTCTAAAGCGATACTAAACTGCAGTGGAAACACAAACCGAGCCGAGTCGTACCACGCAGTGGAAAAGCGCCATTACTCATTTGTCAAAGGTCGGTGACCGCCTTGGGCCCCCAAAAGCCAAGGGCCCCATAAAATGCTTTTCATACACAAGATGCGCATTAAACGTTGAACGTGCTTCTCGTGTATCCTGCTTCTAGCAAATGAAAATATGCATCTGAAGCTGTAATTAAATATTGAGCAACAGTGCGTAGGCTATTATATGTTTATTGTTTTAAATGCCGCTTACTCATTTATGAGCAGGACCCAAGTAGAGGACGCATAAGCAGTTACTTTTTTGGTTGATATAATCCTTATGTGTGTAAAGGTTTAATTTCCTTTTCATTACTTTTTTCTTCAGTTTCATTTTCAATAATCCAGTCTGCAGTTTTTGTTCAGACCAGTCCACCACATAACCCCATTTTAAATGTATATAATTTATACTTCTGACTCATCCCTTTTCTTAAAAAAAAGGTGGTTTAAAGGCTCAATTGTGAGGTTTATCTCAACTGTAAATCAATTGCTATTTCTTTAAAGAAAGCCATCATAACATGTGCATGAAAAATGTAGAAACACTGGATACAACTATGGGGCACCATTGTGCACCAGCAAACATCACAACAAAAAAGGAACCTCAAGGTTTATCGAAGTAAATGTGTGCAAATGTATAGGGCCCCATTCCTAGATTTTGCCTGGGGCCCCCAATTCACTAAATCTGCCCCTGATCACACAGAAATGTTTTTCAACTCTTTATTTTTCTTTGACATACATTCACAGTTTAAAAAACCATAGTTAGGGCCTACAGTGAAAGGTGAAACTTCAAAAGAGCAAATAAATGTGTATTACATCCTTAACCCTTAAAACAAAAACAAAAAAGAACCCGTGTACACACCCTTTATACTGAACTATACTTCAAATTATTCCCTCACATTCACATTATAAAGTTATCTTACTTGTAAAACTAATAAGGTCCCTTTTGAAACATGAAGGAAATAAGAGACAAAATTGTTAGGTAGTTGTATGTTTTTTTTTATCCGATCTTAATTTCCCTTCTGGCTCGATATAGTATGTCTGTCTACCAGTCTAAAATCTCAAATCAAATGAGCATCAAAACTGTAGTATCAAAGAAAGTGTAACTTTGTCATAATAGGTTTGGGGACCTTGTTTTTGCCACATCAAGCAAAGTAATTTATTACTTTATTTAATTACTACACCTGCCAAACAACATTTTTTTATAATCACAGGAAACTTCACTGGTTTGATGATGGTGACCAACTCTGATGGATCAACAGAACAAACTAAGAGAGAACAGGAAAACAAAGGCAAAGGATGCAGCAGTGGGGTTTGCCTTTTGGATAATATTGTAATGTCAGCCTTTAAAAATTAATACTGGACTGGTTACTGGAAAAAAGAGAACACTGTCTTTTCAAGCTGAGGTAGAGAGGTACAAATAAAAAATATTGTTAATTCATAAATAATGCAAATGAAAAATAGCATATATTGAAGATAGAGGATAACCTGATGTCTAACCAAAAAACTTGGGGTCAGCATGCAGATATGACAGTGTTTGTAGCAAATCTTTAGCCCTGCTGGTATTGTAACTATTGACATGGCAATTCCAAGACATGTCCTACTAATGTGATGTTTGAGGTAGGGTTCACTATAGTATAGGCTCCAATGTGCAGTTGACTCAAAAAGAGTGGAGTTCCATTTAAAAAGGGTATAAAGATAGGTCACAGCTTTTCATGCATATTATAATGGTCAAGAAACTTGTATGTCTCACATCAGAGTGAAGTGAAAGTTCACATGAAGTAAACACACTCAGAAGTGAACCACTGAGTCAGAAGGAAACAGCATTCTGGGCCCAGTGTAAGGATTACTGAAATCCAGGGGGTCAAGGAAATAGGGAAAGGGGAAGGCACATTACTAATTCTTTATCAGGGAACCGGTTTACTATCCCAGAACATCTGACTGCTCCCAACTGAGAAAAAGACAAAACAAGAATGAAAATCTCATGTCAATGTAAGAGTTCTTAATGTTTTTGAAAGAAGTCTTTTGTGCTCATAAAGGCTGCATTTATTTGATTTGAGAATACAGTAAAAATTAATATTGTGAAATATTATTAATATTGTGAAATATTATATAATATATTTTAAAATCCAAGTATTATACAATACTATAATAGAAAGGTTTACATTTCCAAACATTAAATTTGATAAAAAATATCAAATTACAATTATAAAATATATTATATTATTAAAAATAAACGAAACAAGCATAAAAAACGTGATTTTCACAATGTTACCTTTTTTAGTTGGTGCTAATACATCTGCACTTTAAGCATACGGCGCTTGCCCTATGAACAACATTAAAAAGTAACATTTAGATCATAAAAAGGATGTTACAAGGTATATAAAGAACTTACATCAGAATACATGCATCTTTGTCTTAATATATCTTTCCATACTCTCACTAATTCACTATTCAACTCATTTCAAGTATTTATCAAGTAATGTTTCTGTTAAACCACATTTTTTGCTCCCATCAATTTACTTAACTAGTTAACCCAGCACTGCATTGTTAAACCAGATTACCTGTTACCTTTCCCGATCGCTCTTCACCATCATCAGGGGCAGAGATGATCTCGCCAGTCATGGGGGACACACCGAGCACCATGGGCTTCTTTTCTGTTTTGGGAGCTCCCTCCAAGATAACCACTATGTAGTCTCGTTTGGGCTCTTCCAAAGAATCAGGCACACTTGATGTTTCAGCTGGAGCAACTTCCTCAGCTACCACTGTGCTCGCAACATCTGGTTCAACAACACTTTCTGTAACTTCCACAAATGGACCTGCTTCTTCATCAACTATACTTACTGAAACCTCCACAACTGCACTTTCTGCAATCACCTCTGCTGCCTTCACTTCCACACCTTCCTCAACCACTGGAATAACCTCTTCTGTTACTTTGGCTGCAGGTGTTTCCTCAAGTTCTTCAGTTGCTACAAACGGTGCATCTTCAGCCACAGCAACAGGAGCTTCTTCAGTTACCAAGGAAACTGCTGCCTCTTCTGGCACTGGGATGACCAACATTTCCTGTTCTATCACCAGGACATCAGACGCTTCTTCTGCAGATACTGGTGAATCAACTGGTGTCTCCTCTGCTACTGGAGCCTCTTCTACCACAATGGCAACAGGTGGCTCTTCTACAACTGGGGAAACTGGTGCTGCTTCTGTCACTGGAGCAACAAATACTTCTGCTGCTGGTGAAACAACTGGTGTCTCCTCTGCTACTGGAGCCTCTTCTACCACTGCGGCAACAGGTGGCTCTTCTACAACTGGAGAAACTGGTGCTGCTTCTGTCACTGGAGAAACGGGTGCCACCTCCGTTACAGGTTCACTTTTCAAATGATCTGTTGTAGGAACCTCAGTGAGCTTCTCTGGTACAGCTTCAACTGGCACATCTTCCACGGATACAGACTCCATAGGAACAGCCTCGATCATGGAGGCAGCAGCCAGCTCTGCTGTTTCTGCTTCTGCTGGGCTGACTGATTCTGCAAGACACAATCAAGCCACCCAATAATCACACACACACACACAAGATATTTGAGAGGTATCAAATGACTTAGAGGTTTTATGTGTGTGTTTGTGATTGTAGTTTAAATCAGAAGATTAATCTAGACACAGATACAATGGGAAAGAGAGAAATGCGACTACCAAAAGTAGAGCACAGAGGTTCATCCCCACTATATTAGTGATAGTTATAACAACAAAGAAACAAGCTTAAGCAGCTGAAGCAAAGTTTAGTGCCTTCAGGTATGATCTATGATGTGTATCTTTGCATTTCACAGAATGTAAGAGATTTTCAGCGAGTATAATCATGCATGTTCACAGCATGCAGCTCCATTTAGGGGTTTCCCATCATTCAGAACATACACGAAGAGGCTTTACTGCCAAATATCACCTAGAAAGGGACACACCACAAGAACAACTACCACAAAAACCTTTACCACAAGAACACAGATGACCTTTACACTAAACTCAGCATTTTAAAACATTACTTTTAAAAACAGAGGATCAACTTGTCAGTGTTTATGATGTAATATTTCAGTTTGTTGTGTTTTCTGAAAAAAAAAGAAATTAAACACAGAATATCTTTTTGATATTTATCAATTTCATTTTATTAATTTTATTAAATGGCTTTGAAACCCTTATCCATTTTTAATACATGACTGCATTTTTCAAGTAAATGAGCAATTTCATTAATCACACACACTTGACTTCTTGGTAAGTTACTGAGTTCTGTCAGTTCAGTCATACAGAGGAGTAGAAAGGGAAAACTAATACAGAAATAAAGCTGGCCTAGTTGCTAGGGAGCAAAACACTCACAGTTTTCACAATATTAATAGGCGTGTACCAACTAAGTGATATCTGGCAGAGAAATACGTTTTGACAAATCCAAAATTTAATAACCGAACTATTACTGTTATTATAAAACAACAAATAACTACATACAGCAGTACATTTGCTTTTTGGTGTCTTTGCGTTCACTTGTGCCTCAAATAGGAAGTAAGGCAGAATAGAGGTTAAAAATGACAGGAGGCTGGCTCAGATTTGTTAGAAGATTGAGAGTGAGAGTGAAGCTAAGAGAAAGAAATTAGGAGAACAGGAGTAGATGTTGGTCACATGTAACAAAAAGCAGCAACTTTGGATTCTCACAGTGGTTTCTACAGTGATCAATATTTGAAAAACTTATAATTTATAACTTTTTCAAGTTATAAATGTATTTATATAATTTTCAAATATTTCCAGCAAAATCCAGGAATACAGCAAAAATATACACAATAAGCTGTGTGCTATAAAGTAGGATGACATTGCAACGCAAGCATCTAATTCTGTAGTATAACATCGATGCAACCAGAGGAAGTACAGTATGATAAGGACTATACAGTTAATCACATACACTATCATTTAGTTCATGCGTCTCTGAGCATCTTAAAACTTCAGTTTATGACTAAAGAATCTACTTGTAAAAGAGGAAAAACGAGGATAGATAGAGAGACCTGCAGGATTCAAGCAATGAAATCTCTCTAAATTTTGTTCAGGTGCCAATTTTTGTTCTTCTTAGGATGTAAGGTTAACATGTTCAGATAAAGTGAGACCGTGACCATTTTGCTAAACAGAACATTTGAGTCTTCTATATCTTGTGTGTGTGGGTGAGTGTTTGAGTACCAATGAGCCATTTAGGACTCTGTACCAGTGGCCTCTGCTACTGCCTCATCTTGGGAGGCTGGTGGCGTACCGCTGCTCTCTGACGCCGGCTCTTCAGCTTGGATAACAGGAGTTACGACAGCCTCTGCTGCTGCTTCTACTTCCTCTGCTACCTTCTGCACTTCCTCTGCCACCGCTGCCACCTCCTCTGCTGTCTCAGCAACAACCCCCGCCACCTCAGCAACCACCTCTGCAGTCTCTACGACCGTCTCGGCAACCTTTTCCACAACGGTCTCAAGAGTTCCTGTCTTCCCTCCAGTGGCCTCGGCTGTTTCCAGCAAGACCTCAGGTGCCTCAGCAGGACCACCTCACCTTCCTCTGCACCAGCTTCTTCTAAACAGACAATAGAGAAGAAAGAAAAATAAGGCATCACGCTACGTTTTCATTTTTACTCACTTCTGAATCTCACATAAAAATGACTGGGTTGAAATTATATGAAATTATATTTTGCCTTAAGAAAATGAAACCAATTTTAGGACAATAAGAATTTTTTAAGCAAATTTTTTTGAAAAGCATATTTTGCAATCAAAATCTAAAAAAAATAATAATAATAAAAATAACAATCAGTATGCTGCAGTAATTCAAATCATCCTGTCATAAATTAACTTCAAAAAATACTACCATGATGTTTTTACAAATTAGAGAATCAGAGAATTTTTCTCATCATTTATTATTATTTATATAATAAAAATTATTATTACTATTTATTACACATTACATTGAAATTCTATTCTAAAAACAGATTTTTCATTTATGAATACAGAGATGTAATATATTATAGATCTTGCAAAATATAACTTTCGATTCAGGAGTATAATAATACCTTGACATTTATTGACAGTTTTTGTAAGGTGGTACTATAATCACCAATATCTATAATATTACTTTCCTAATATTCATAAATTAACAATCTTTTGTTTTGAGAACTGTATACTAACTGCAATTAATTACCTAAGGAAATATATAACAATACAATTAACTAATTTTTAGTAATGTGAGAAAACTATAATTATTACTCAAATAATTATTTTTATTTTATTTTATTTAGTTTGTAAGTATATTATAATAGTATTAATTTAACTGAATTTAATTTATGCTAGTTACCTAAGAACATAAGTGCAGCTAAAAACATACATATTTAAAGCATTTACACTTGCCACCAAGCCTTTCAAAATCTCTCATACACAGCATCCATCTTATCAAACCTCCTGGAAACTCCCATAAATGGGTAAACGGGGAATATAAATCTAGCTTTGTCAAAATCACACATAGCCCGATCCCTGCAGGCAGCATGCAAAACCCAAGAATGAGGAGGGAGGGTGAAAAGAGAAACTGAACAGAAAGAACAGGGAGAAAGGGGCTGGGAGGACAGGTGAGGAGAGGGAATACAAAGATGGTTGAGCCTTACCATCTGTTCAAAGTTAGCAGTACCAGCAACTCTGTGAATTCCAGCAAAACAGAAAAACAACCAAAGGGGCTTTGTTGTGCGTGTTTAATTAGTTAACTCACAGAGGGAAGTATTCTTTTACATGTCTTTCAATTTCTACTGTATAACACCACAATCAACATTTTAAATAAGTGTTTGAAAGTCAATGGAATGAGAAATATCAGTTCGATGGAAAAAGCAGGAATCCTAACGACATTAGCTCAGGAGAGAATCATCCAAAAAGTTCTGACTGAAGACTATAGGTCACCAGCCCCGACTGTCCGAATTAGTTTATTCTGGAAAGAGTCAGAACAAAGAGACAGGAAAGTTAGGAAAGAGATTAGGTGAAGTTTTGAGTTCGTTGTTCAATATTATGATTTCTTAGTTTTTTTTTTTTTGGCATTTGAAAGACCACACTATAAAAAAAGTGTGTATATATTGTCTGGCAAGACTTTCTGGACTGGACTGCAGTCATTAATAGAGGATCAAAGGCAAGTAAGTAAGTTGGGAAAAAGGGTTGTGAGAGAGGGGTGCACAGGGGTGCAGACAGGTCTATTTGGGTTTATTTAAGAGGAAAGTGACAAAGTGCCAAAATGCCAAAGAGAAAGGCACCCAGTTCTGATTAACAGGCTTTCTGACAAATAGGATCAGGGTATCAGGTGTGTTAGAAGAGTAACATGAGAACAACTACTTAATCCAATAATACATTTACATTTTTGCATTTGGGAGACGCCTTTATTCAAAGTGATTGCATTCAAGGTATCAATTTTTTCAGCTCATACTTTCCCCACGAATTGAACCTTGGCATTGTTAGTACCACACTCTACAGGAATGCCCTTTCATCCAAATCAAGCTTGTTTAGCTCACTTTTCTGTTTCAGTCTGTGGAAGATCTAGACTCTTTATAAACAAGCATTTGGCATTGCAGTTTAGCCATTATTCTACCAATATCTGCCCATAAGAGTGTCATTACAGGATCTTTGTAAAACTTAAAAGTCATTCCCACTTGGCATATAGCAAATATTAATCAGAACAGGTCATAACCTATGTGCCAAAAATACATTTTTGTCCAGTGTTTTGCAGCTATCAGCCAACAAGGTATCAGGATCGACTGAGTGGGAGGAGACTGAAAAGTAGGGGGCGTCATCATTTAGTTAACCTTTGACCTTCAGAAACCAAGGCTATAATACAGTTTGAGTTTACACAGAAATAACTCCCAAAAACACTTGTTATGCAGCAGTTCAGATCATGCGAGTTAAAGCACAAATTAGTTTCAACAAAATTCACTAAATGGATCCTACTGGTTTTAAGACAAACAGATGCGTTACATTTAAGAGACAGAACTGTAATTTGTCCATTTAAATATCATAGTTATTTATTATGGTACATCATGAAGAGATTATGACAAAAAGATCACACATGAACTCACCATTGCCATTCTCCTCACCTAAAAAACAACAACAACAAAAATATTAAATGATGGCACACTGCAATCTGAAATGTAATTAAGCCCTGAAGCTGCTGTATAAAGCTTTCTGTCAACAGTCACTCCCTCATATCAGACCACATTACAACACATAATATCCCCTTATTTATAACACTTGAACGAGAGAGCTTTTTAATGCTGCTGTCATTTAGATAAGACAGTTTAATAATGTTTGGCTCAGATGCAGGAGTGTTAGAGACGCTTGGATTTGACACCGTCATTTAATGTGCTGGAAGTGGATTTGGCAGGACTGTGATAGTGAACTAAGAGGGCAACTTTCAGCTGTCTGGCATTACCGTGCTGACCACAAGATAAATGTGAGAGGATGCCAGATGTCTACCACATACCCCAACATGTCTTTTGTCGTGGTTGTAATTCTGATGTTTTGGAAGGGCTGCAATGGATTATTTATTGTCATCTGCATTAGATCTCATATTTTTGGATTCAGACTTATTCTAAATTGACAATTTAGATCAGCATTCCTGATGCCACTGAGAATTAAATCTTCAGGGTTACTATCAGTGCCGTGTGAACAGCATTGTTTTCAAAAATATGTCCAATAAGCTTCTGAAGATTATCTGCATATTACCTTATGCCTGTATCTTTCATCTTGAGAAAGTTATGCTACTAGTATTACATTTTCTACAGCCAGGTAAATGGTTTCTGCTCTTGCACCCTAGTTTTAACAGGCCATAGGAAACTCCTTATCAGAATCCCAAAAGTGATTAAATTACAACACTAAAAGCAGAATTAACCAGCCCATAGGTGAGACTTACTCTTGGGTGGCCATGCTTTGGGTTTCCAGTCAGACTTGGGACGAGCATCAATTTCAGAAACACGATCAACAAACCGTGCGTGGTCTGTTGAAACGGTTCTATAAGCCTATCACAGAATTCAATAAAGACATTAATTAATTCAACAAGTGAGCTGACATCAAACTTTATCATCAATGGTTTGAGTTTTAGTCAGACTTACATATGCCAAGCCACCTGCGAAGGCTCCACCGCAGAGCACGACATAAAGGAAATTCTCACCAGAGCCGCCAGGAACTGACGACATGAGCCTCCGTGGAACTACTGCATTAGTAAAGACAACAGGAGTAAGACAAAGAATTTGGATGTGTGAGGCAACAATGTAAGAAATCCTTTCTCCCTCTCTCAGTTTCAAGATTTAATCACTTTAATAGTTCAATAGAACTTAAAATATTATTTGTAGTTAATAGTTAATGTTTTAGTTAAAGTGCCTGACACAGAGATTGACCTTCATGGCAGTCAAACCAGAGCTGCTTTCTGCCCAGTAGGTCACTGCCTGATTGGATTCTGGGCAATGGTTTTAGGTACCTATAAATATGCCTGTCAGCATTCATCTAGATATTTATTGTGTTCTTGCATCTCCAGGACTCAGAAATATGGTGAAGATAATCTTAAGTGAACAGCATTTTAAACTATGGTTGTGAAGCCTACTAATGGCGCTTTTCCACTGCGTGGTACGACTCGACTCGGTTCGGCTCGGTTTGTGTTTCCACTGCAGTTTAGTATCGCTTTAGAGTGGGCAGTGGACTCAAAATAAAATGCAGGTTTGTAACCCTCTATACACAAGTGTTTCTGCAACAGTTATGGGTTTATATAAATGTATAGACATCAGTCAATGATTCCTCAATACATAAAAATAATTATGCATTATTTTCTTACTTAGATAATTGCTTATATCACCAAATATTTCATTTTATATACTATGCTTCATTGACTATCAAAATAGTCTCCTTAGTGCTGACAGTTCCTTGTCCTAAAAAAAGTTAGAGGGCAGGGATCAACTTAAATTTAGAAAACCATCAGTGCAGTCCAATCAGGATAGGAGGGCAAAGATCATTCTGACACAAATTTTGTATATTTTTTTTAAGGAGTAACTTCAATACTCTCATTAAGATAATCCAGTCACTCGTGCCCAGCTAGAATAAATAGGTTCTAGATACCTCTGTGTTATTTATACCAGCTAATCTGTTAATCTTTCCCAGGAGTCAAAGGGTGAAGCAAACAGAAAGCGATACATGCTCGGTTAGACTACTAGGAACCAACATAACGTTTTCAATGTCAGATGCTGATGACAATATCTAGTTTAGGTTGGCAATGGCCGATATAATTCCTATATTTACATAATACCATTTAACAACAGCAAATAAGAGATAAATGATGGAAGTAAA